AACCGGAACCCTAACATTTTTGGGTGTTATATTTTAATATTATTTCTGTGAGCCTGAACCCTAACATCTTTGGGTGTTATATTTTAATATTATTTCTGTGAGCCGGAACCCTAACATCTTTGGGTGTTATATTTTAATATTATTTCTGTGAGCCGGAACCCTAATATTTTTGGGTGTTATATTTTAATATTATTTTTGGGCGTTATATCTTAATATTTCTGTGAGGACATATCATTAGAAAATCAATAATCTTGGTAAATCCCGTTTCATAGAGCAACGACATATCGTTAGAAAATCAATAATCTTGGTAAATCCCGTTTCATAGAGCAACGACATATCGTTAGAAAATCAATAATCTTTGTAAATCCAGTTTCATAGAGCAACGACAATATCTATAAAATTGTTACATTAGTAATGAGATACGACAACACACACACACATACATAATAATGATGGAGGATTGTATAAGAACCAAGGTGTTTAGCGTTCATCCAAAACAAACAATTACTTGTAAATTTCATAAATATCAATTCAAATAAAACAATTAAAATCATACCATTTCTCAAGAGATCGCAAAAGTTATATATATTTTAAAGTAAAATGTCTACAGTTATAACACCCAAAAATGTTAGGGTTCTGGGTCGCTCTATGAAACGGGATTTACCAAGATTATTGATTTTCTAACGATATGTCGTTGCTCTATGAAACTGGATTTACAAAGATTATTGATTTTCTAACGATATGTCGTTGCTCTATGAAACGGGCGATTGGGTGTCAGTTATACAGCCGCTGTTATTTGCCATATAAATGCTAAATTACATCTACAGTCTGTATGCAGCTATATATGTATGCATGTAGTAGATTATGAGACTCAATATAAATCACAGACTACATTAAAACGATTGGGTGTCAGTTATACAGCCGCAGTATAACCAATGAGCAGTTGCGTCGAAAATTTGGGTTCAAGGTACAGTTGATAATTAAATTTACGGCTCAATTTCTTCTAATTTTATGAGTAAATTTCAAACAAGTTTAAGTGGGTATTACCGTTGTGTTCGAACTAAATACAGACTTCAATTCTCGCACGTTATTCTTGTACAAACAAAATTTCACGACTTTGAGATTTAAGAGTAATAAATATAGTTGAAACTTTGTCATCACATCGTTAAAGAGGTGTTAAGGAAAGGTTAAAACAACACCGTGAAACAGGCGTGAAAACCCTCGGATATCAGCATTGTAAGTTCGTAAACATACTGCTGTCCCACCGGGGGGGGGGGGATTCTGGTTGAACAAAGTTCGGTTTTATACTTTTAACAATAGGTGTCGTGCATCAAACCGATATGTAACCGTCTTCTTATTGTGAAAGTTTCAGGTTTCTTGCATCTAAAAGTAAACAGGCACTAATTAGTCTTAACGATGATAAGTTTGTATAAACCCACTCGTGTCATGCAGTTATTATTTCTATTAGTCAGGCAGGACCGTCAGAAGAGGATGACCTAAATAAGGCCCCCAGTGGAGTCGAACCGATAGATCAACAGCCAATCAAGGCTTTAGTAACTCCTCGTCAGTCTTCACGTGACGAAACTCTAGCACGAGACTCTCGTTCTTCCTCCGTCAATACGATGGGAGAAGAGCATTGTGAGAAAGCTGACTTACAGAGGAGAAACGAACCTTTACAGCTAAGCAGTTTTATTTCTTCTATGCCCATTGCTAGCCTCCCATTGAAGTACCGGCGACTACATTCTTTCGAGAAAACCCCGGAAGAGATCACAGTTTCGTCTAATCTTCACGAAGATAGTCCAGTAGACCTCTCCTTAACTACTGGAAACGGTAATACGGCTGATTTGTCTGTTCGATTTTATTTTTACATTATGCAAGGCTCATTTCAGCGCGATCACCTGTTGCTGCTTCTGGTTTCAAAATATAAGAACGTTATTTTTTTTCATCATTAGATTAGTAACCAAGATTTTAAAGGTTTCAGAAATAGTGTTTAAAAGAAAACTTTTCGACAGCTATCTTTTTTAGCGACAAATACACAATTAGAAAATCAACAATCTTTGTAAATCCCGTTTCATAGAGCAAGGACATATCGTTAGAAAATCAATAATATTTGTAAATCCCGTTTCATAGAGCAACGACATATCGTTAGAAAATCAACAATCTTTGTAAATCCCGTTTCATAGAGCAACGACATATCGTTAGAAAATCAATAATATTTGTAAATCCCGTTTCATAGAGCAACGACATATCGTTAGAAAATCAATAATCTTGGTAAATCCCGTTTCATAGAGCAACGACATATCGTTAGAAAATCAATAATCTTGGTAAATTTTTAATGTAGTCTGTGATTTATATCGAGCCTCATAATCTGCTACATGCATACATATATAGCTGCATACAGACTGTAGATGTAATTTAGCATTTATATGGCAGGCATGACACATGTACCAGAGCAGATATTAACTTATTGTTGCAACTGTATTGATGTTGCATATCATTTGTTTGTGTATAAGATTTCTGCTCTTTTGGACACAATGTTGCTGACAGGATAAAAAACATTTTTAACACTGCATAATCGATTTCAGCCATTTTACACAAACACCTAAAACATTTTACAAACATCTAGGCTGTCTCCCACAACATAAATCTTTAAGTCATAGTTTAAAAGATAGCACCAAGCTCAGTTTCGAGCATCGTATTGGCAATCATAGCGATGGCTGATGGCAAGAGTCAAATTATAGCTAACACTGCATGATTGAAAATTGTATAGATACTGCAGTTAGAGTAGGCATCCTTGAAGCTGACTATAAGGAGTGGCAAGAATCGTGCAAGCAGGAGATGGTGATTCTAGGCAAAAGTGAGGCAGAAATTTGTAGGTAAATATTTTATATAGAAAATATACATAACATGTGGTATGTTGATCACCGTGCATCATAGTGATCATACATGCAGTACCTCTATCAATGATATCAGGAGCAATACCCATCCAATCTGCATGAAGCCAATCCAAGTTATTTCCTGAGAGAGCATCATACACCAAATATGTAGTTCATTAAACTAAACTGTTTCAAATAGGACAGTATTGCTATTATACAGATTTATGTCTGTGATGGACATAACAAAAACAACAATTTAAGAAACAAACTTATTAAAAATTGTTAATTTAAAAAGGAGGAATAGGGATATTAAAAAAATTACAGAAACAAGATAGGTAGCTTAAAGTGAAAATGCAATAGCAAAAAAAGTAAACAAACAAATTTAATGTAACATTCTCTTACCAGTAGCTGGCACTTGTATTTTAATGGAACATTCTGTTATCAATAACTGACACTTGTATTTAATGGAATATGTTACTGTATTTGACACTTGTATTTTATTCCCTTTTTTTTTTGGTGTTCTCTTTTATGAAGTAATTGCTGCATCTGAAAAATTATATTTTTTATTAAACTATATAACTATAAGCTCTTTGATTAGAATATTCTGTATATTATTTCCCTTTAGCTCTGATATAGAACACATAAGAATTATTCGTGATGCTAAACCTAATCTATATATGGTTTTATTGAAGTTCAGAACCCAGGTAAGTGATTGATTTTGTTATATTAGTTTGACAATTATAAGATTTTAACTGTGTGTTTAACTTTTTGTTTCTCAAACTAAGGGTTCTAACCCCCAAAAAAAGGGTCACAAGAAATTTTTGGGCAGGGGGCAGCAAAAAAAGTTTGTGAACCCATGCTTTAGAAGATCGAAGCAGAAGTAATAAAGTCAGTTGTGTTGTGATTCAAATAAAATTGGTGCTTAATACTTTTAAGAATTGTAAAAATGTATGTGTGTAATGAGTATTGCTATTTGTATCAGTAAACTGAGTAGTGAATAATTATGATACTAATATACAGGAACATTTATAATTTTTGTACATCAGTTATTTTTTAAATATTTAAACTAGTCTTAGGTGTGGGAGATAAGTTAGCTAGTTGGATAGAAGAGTGGTTGAATTGATGAAAGCAGAGAGTTGTTATAAACTGGTTTAATGTCACAAGTAGCATACCTCAGGGCTAATCTTAGGACGTTTGCTTTTTTATGTATGTCAAGGACATAAACAAAGGAATGGTCAATAAATTTGCTAATGATATTAAGATCTTGGCATTGTTAGCTGTGTGGATGCTGCTGCTTTACAAAAGGATTTAGATCATTTAGTGAGTTGGGCAAAAATTGGCAGATGGGTTTTAATTATTATAAATGCAAGATAATGCATCTGGGTTATCATAATTTGAATTATAAGTATAATTTGGAAGGGAATAACCTTGACAATATTATGAAAGAAAGGGATCTTGGTATAATGGTTGATCAGTCTCTTAAGCCATCCAAGCAACATGCTGTTGCTAGTGGTAGGGCAAATAGGATTTTAGGTTGTTTCTACAGAAATATTGAATACAAGTCTAAAGAGGTTATAATTTCATTGTATAGGTCACTAGTTAGGCCACATTTAGAGTATTGTGTTCAGTCTTGGATTCCTTACCTAAGGAAGAACATTGAATTGTTGGAAAGGGTTCAGAGGAGGGCTTCTAGAATGGTGCCTGGGATGGAGGGGTTGTCATATGAGAAGAGGTTAAGGTCTCTGAAATTGTTTTCTTGTGAAAAAAAGGAGTTAGAGAGTATCTAATTGATGTGTTTAAGATTATTAAGGGAATTGGTAGTGTTTATGCATCATCTTTTTTCATATTTAATGGTAGAACTATGGGACACAAATATAAATTTTGGTAGGGTACAAGCCATCTTCAGCTAAAACAGTTTTATTTTTCTAACAGGATGGTTGGTCTTTGGAATAGGTTGCCTTTGGATGTTGTGAAGGCAGTAAATTTAAATCAGTTTAAGAGAAAGCTTGATAACTATGTGAATGATAAAGGCTGGGTTTTAGTTTTTTAATAGGTTTAACTTAGTTTAGAGGTTGGGACAGCCTTGATGGACCAATAGGTCCCTTGTTGTCCCTAAACAATATGTCATATGTTATGTTATATTGAATGTCCTACGTTTTGCATATAAAATGGATACTTTAAGTACTAAATAATTGAGAAAATGATCCAAGAAAGTCGAGCATATTTTACAAGTGATTTGGCAGAATGGAAATTTCATTCAAAAGGCTAAATGTCAATTTTTGTAAATGATGTCCATTGGGAATTCTAGCTTAAAACAATAAGTTTATGCTATATTTTCATTTTCTCATTAACATTTAAGAACTTGGAGAAGATAAGATTGTTAAATGTGAATTTCTCCTTGTTTATATTGTTAGAACCAACAGAAATGTTTTATTATAGTGAAATGTAGGAAATTTAGCAAGTAAGTATAGGTAAAATGTTTTTTTAAGCTTACTTCTGTGTAATGTCAATGTGAAAAACATTAGGTAATTTGTAAAAACAACTGTTTCACTGTTAGGCATCTATATAAATAATATGCTTGCATTTGCCTGTCTGGAACTTATTGTGCAAATTTTTTGGTCAAACCCTACAAATCTCATATCCTTAGAAAGGCCTTTGTCGAAGGAGTCGATTGCATATTAGCTTTTCAAGTCAGAATCGTGTTAAATGGTTTTTGCCTAGTTAAACTTTTTAATCCAATGAGTATGCTATACAATGACACAATGTTGTCATCATCATGTGAAGACTTGCTTTGATTTAAACTTTATCTTTTTATTTGTAAAGTATTTCACACGAGCAACACTTAATCCACTTGTAATTTCCTAAACAAATGAACATTACACTAAATACAGTTGGTATGGGATTTCTCTACGTATTTATGTTTAAAATATACATGCGCAATTCTTTCAAAACCAAATGCTTATAACTTTGTGAACACGCATTCAGATGTTTCTGTATATTCAGCTAAGTTTGCTTCATTACAACTTTACATTTACTTTACTTTGTAATAATTTAGCTTTGATTCATCTCATAGACTACTTTAAACACCTCTTAGCTACTTTTTTCTTTACTACGGGTTTTATTCATGGTTTTTTTCAGTTTCTTTGTTTTAACTTGTAAAACTGTGTCATACATTGAATGCTAATAACTATTTCGTACTCTGTACACTATAATAAGTACCATTACTTTATTATTTACTTGACTGCATAAAATTCTTTCAAATAGACCAGGATTTACCGACGAAACACATAATGCCTGCATAGTTTAAATGGCGTGTGTGAAAATGATAGAATAAGGAAAATGCAAGCAAAGAGCATGATAACTGCTGCACATGTTTTGTGGATCGTGGCTAGTTTATATTAAATTTCATTTACATGTTGGCTGCTCGTATTTACCACTGCTGTTAATTTATTTTATTTACATGTTGGATGCTCGTATTTACCACTGCAGTTAATTTATTTTATTTACATGTTGGCTGCTCGTATTTACCACTGCAGTTAATTTATTTTATTTACATGTTGGATGCTCATGTGTACAGTTGCAATTAAACTATTTTATTTTATTTTCAGAAAATGGCTGATGAGTTTTACAAGAGCTATAATGGTGTTAGATTCAATACCATCGAGCCAGAACTCTGCCATCTGGTCTATGTAGCCAAGGTAGAAACAGTGAAAGAATCTGAGGTTGGCATCAGATTAAACATAGTGTATTATTTTCAAGAAGTTTTTGGTATGGTCATATAAGGTTTTTAGTAAGTTATTTGTTAAGCCTACAATTTAATCATGTGTACATTGTTTCTTTATCTACCAGTGGGGGTTGTATTAGCAAGAAAAAAAACATATGTTTATACTGTAATAGCATTCATTGAAGAGCCTACTGTTGTACAAAAAGATCATATTAAGTGTTTGTAAGTTATTTTTTATTTATTCATTGTTGATTTTTTTTCTCAGGAAATTTGTATGCCACTATCAGGCCTCACAGAACTTCCTACTTGCCCTGTGTGTTTAGAAAGAATGGTGAGTTTCATTTGAAGTTTCATTACACTTGTGAAAATGTTAAGCAAGATTAATATAAAACTTTTGACTTTTTTGATCATGCCTAATGTTTAATATAGAAAAACAAAAGAGGCATTAAAAAATCAAATAGTTTCTGTAAATGGCTGAGCTGTTTGCAGGTTTGACATAAATAGCTACCGTTTATTATTCTCATGATAATAAAAACTCATACAGGATGAAAAAATAGATGTAAGAAACCTAATAACCCGAGAGCTTTTGAAAGATAGAAGGTCTACGTTCAGAAAAGGTTCAGGTTTATTTCTGGTTCTCTAGGGAACCTTTAAAATCTTAACTTTCTCCAACTAACCTGGATAAAGTTTATTTTGAGATGTTGGATCTTTATTTTGTAAAATTGAATAGTTCTGCATTAAACAAAATTCTAGTTCTATCAGGTTATATATATATATATATATACATTTGTGTGTTGTATTTATTCATACAATACCTGTATGTAGTTTGGTGGATATACACGTTTTTATTCTTGTATGTCAGGCATTGCTTTTACATACATTGTAAGCTATTTTTCAGCTATCATGGCCTTGTCTACCACATAAAAAGGAAATATAAGCATATATTAGTTGTGGTGGTGTAGAAAACAATGTGGAACCTTGGTGAACATTAGGTAGTGTTGGTTTACTGTGATTATCATAAAATGGCCATGTAGGGTGAGTAACAACAAAATTTATGTTTATGATGAGTAGTAATACAATGCATGACATTAAATAGATGTATGTACATCTACCAAACTACAAGTAGGTATTTGTCCAACTGACTATTTCTTGTGTTGAAAATATGAAATATGACAACATATTTGATGACAAGGAAACCACTTTGAGGCTAATAATGCTTGGAGATGGCTTGGATGGGTAATAAAGAAAAACATTAATATAAGTTTAAAGTAATGTATAACTTGTACCTGATGATGGCAGACTCTTGTTGAAATGTTGTACATTTGCTGTTATGTTAAACTTATATTAAAGTTTTTGTTCATTACCCATTCAAGCCGTCTCCAAACATTATTATATGACAATATATTGATGAAAAATATCCTGTATGTTTAAGTATTCCAACTTTGTTTTGAAAACTTTTAAAAATAACTAGTCAGAAGACCTGTTCTTGTTTAGTGAATTTGTGGGTATTACGTAAGTTCCGTGTGTGCCTGAGGCCTAGAGCTTATTACGTTATTGTTACCATTAAGTTACATATGTGGCTGGGGTTTAGAGCTTATTATGTTACTGTAACCATTAAGTTACATATGTGGCTGGGGTTTAGAGCTTATTACATTAGTGTTACCATAAAGTTACGTTTGTGGATGGGGTTTGGAGCTTATTATGTTACTGTTACCATTATGTTACATATGTGGCTGGGGTTTAGAGCTTATTACATTAGTGTTACCATAAAGTTACATTTGTGGATGGGGTTTGGAGCTTAGTGCATTAGTGTTACCACTTCCACTATAACATTATTGTATAATCATGTTTTCATTCGTGTGTTTTTGAATAAAATGGATATCCTTCTCAACTACTTGTTTTACTTCACAAATAGACGTGAATTCTGGGATACAACATAAGTAGTAAGTTATTAGTAGCCTTGAAAACGAAGCTGTGTCTCTAATTACAACATTGACGGTAACAGAACAAACTGTTAAAAAGTAAATGTATAATAGATTTTGAGGTACAGATGATTTGTTTTATCGTTAGTTTGTATGGTGTAATTTTTGTTGTCGTTTTTTTTAATGAAATATCTCTAAACTCGTAGGATGAATCTGTAGAAGGCATCTTAACAATCCTATGTAACCATTCCTTCCATGGGACTTGTCTGTCTAAGTGGGGAGATACAAGGTAAGCCTTAAATATACAGTGAAGTGACCAGTGATATTAATATGCATAGTATAGCATAGTGCATTACGTAATTTTCAAAAGGGGGAAAAAAATTAACATAAAATTTTTTTAATGGAAATCATTTATGTTGTTTGATAAGTCAACATATTTTGTAGTGTTTCCTGAGTTGCCATATTTGGTTCTGTTGTATTGTTTCATAAATTGTTTCACAAGTTATTGGGTGTCACAAGTTGACAATTGGACATTTATCATCATATTGTTTAATAAGCAGTATGTAATGTACATGTAGCCACATATTGTCACTTTGTATAGCTCACTGTGTTAGGGTTACCAATATATTAAGTATTTCTGTGAGAAAATTCAAAGAAATATAACTTATGAGTATTTAGATATTGTTATGCATTCAGTGAACGTAAGTTTGTTTATTCGCTGTCCAGATCTTCATTTTTTGGAGATTACAGTTTGTTCTTTTTTAATGTAGCTGTCCTGTGTGCCGTTATTGTCAAACACCTGAACCTGTCCCAGACAACCATTGTTTTGGTTGTGGATCTCAAGAAGTAGGAAACTATGATAACTGTTTTGGTTGAATGAATAAGTTGGTTAGCTTTTATTAAAAATATTGAAATGTAAAAAAATAAATGTTTTTGTACAGAGAAAATATAGATTTGAAGCAAAAAATCCTTAAAACTCTATTACTGTTTAAGTTGTCATCTGATGTAGTCTAAGTGTTGAATGTGTTCAGGGTTTGCTTTTCTAATTTATTTTTATGAATACATTCAAAGTTTCACTAAAAAGTTTTAATATAAGAAATGGTGAAGTAAACTTTGAGATTGTTAATATTGTAGTGTTTTATTTTGTAATATTATTGAAAAGATGATCTTTAAATATTCTTAGTTTAAAAAGGAGAGAAAACAAATTAGAGGTAATGATATACAACCTAACCTTAAGATGATGATTTAACTAGAGCAGAAATTCTCATTTGTACTTGCATGTTGGTGAGGGATTGGTATGTTGATGTGTGGTTGGATGCTTTACCTTGTTAGTATCCAGTCTGATGAGGAATGTTATTTTCTCATGGTGTCACTGTGTTAGCTTAATAATATGTAGAATTTACCATAGCATTTTTCTCAATTCTTGATATTTAACTTAACATTAAAGCTGTGGCCTATAACCACCAATAATTCTTTCTAAAAACATTTATGATGTGCTTTGTACTGTTTTTTTAATGTATTAAGAACACAATGGTAGTAAATGGCCTAGACATTTGCAGATACTTAAGTATACATATGTTTCATGCAATGACACAGACCAGATATCACTCGTACGTATGTTTCATCCAATGACACAGACCAGATATTACTCGTACGTATGTTTCATCCAATGACACAGACCAGATATCACTCATACGTATGTTTCATCCAATGACACAGACCAGACATCACTTGTACGTATGCTTCATCCTATGACATAGACCAGATATCACTCGTACGTATGTTTCATCCAGTGACACGGACCAGATATCATTTGTACGTATGCTTCATTCTATGACACAGACAAGATATCACTCGTTCATATGCTTCATCCAATGACACAGACAAGATATCACTCTTACATATGATTCATCCAATGACACAGACCAGATATTACTTATACATATGTTTCATCCTATGACACAGACCAGATATCACTTGTACATATGCTTCATCCAATGACACAGACAAGATATCACTCGTACATATGCTTCATCCACTGACACGGACCAGATATTACTTGTACATATGTTTCATCCTATGACACAGACCAGATATCACTTGTATGTATGCTTTATCCTATGACAGAGACAAGATATCATTCGTACATATGCTTCATCCAATGACACGGACCAGATATCACTCGTACATGTTTGGACATGTCTTCTATTTGGCAGTGTGCTTTGAGAGAAACTTGTGAACACAACTCATGTGCCACTTTTTAGGACCAAACTTCTTTCAGCTACAATGAACAGCTGTGTTCTCAAATATTTCCAAAAGGATGGTTTTTCCTGTAGCTGTATTGAACTCTGTGTATTGTACAAAAGTCTTCTACAGGAGTAGTTGCATTGTAGAGTAGTGTTATTCTGTGTGATGGCTCTGGTTGTAGATTAAACCTGTAAGATTTACGCACCTGTCCTTGTTTTATTATTGTAGTCCATCATACAGTGGTCCATATTTCATTCTGATCACTACCATCTCTTGTTTAATTATACATTATACAATAGTCTAGATTTTATTTTCATCATGTTCATTGTGTTTTTGAGTAACAAAGTATTAACTGTATGTTCATATAAAAATTGGTTTGTTCATATTGTAGAGCCTGTGGATCTGTTTGATATGTGGTCATGTGGGTTGTGGACGTTATGTTGATGGACATGCTTTTAAGTAAGTTATGTAGTGGATTGTGTTCTAACATTTGATGATTTGGTTTAATTTCCAGTAAGAAATAAAGGTGATTTCTAGCATTAAGTTGAATATCACCTGAAAACAAGTGAATTTATTGCTTATTTTGAATCTTGACAATATCTAGTATTATTCGATTTAAAAAATTAATTTAGCTATGTTTATGGAGATAATGTGAATGGGATATGTTATATGGTTTATCAGCATTTCAGATCAGTGTGTTTATTAAAATTATCCCTGGTGTAAAAAAAAACCCTAAATTTAAAGGAAGCTTTTACTGAAGTCAGCAAAATACAGTTACTGGTAAATAATGTTATTGTTATTGTAGAGACTTTATCCTTTTTATACGATACTTATAATATTTTTAACAGAAGTAAATTACTGTATGTGTAGTTTTATAGCTGACATTTGGTAAAAATGATGTTTTTCAGACATTATGTTGAAACTGAGCACACCTATGCTATGCAGCTCGGTAACAATCGGGTTTGGGACTATACTGGAGATAACTATGTTCATCGATTGGTGCAGAGTAAAGGAGATGGCAAGCCAGTTGAACTAGAGAGCAACAGGCTTAGTGTAAATATTTTTTCTTTAGCATAATAGTCATATGTTTTTTAAATTTAAATTGGATTTTGTTGTTCCTTTTAAAGTTAGTAGACCTTATACTTTTTAATATCAGTAGACTTTGTACCCCTCATTCAGTATATTTTATATCCAATAATGTTAGTAGACCCCCATACCTATCAAAATCAGTATATCTTATACTTACTAATGTCCACAGGTACCATACATACCATACAATGTAATTAGGCCTCATATACATGGCCCGTCTTGTAGCTTTGCAATGAACAACGAAGCATAATATTTTAATTAGATTATAACGTAATAATGAAGATTGTTCTAAAATTATTTAAAAACTTTATTTGGTAGGACAAAATGTTTGATAATCTTTTTTTTTGCTTTGTCCAAATCAGTATTTTAATTCTCTATATTTGTAAGAAAACAAGTAAAACTGTTAGATATTTAATAGCTTAAGAATTGATAAAGTCAGAACTTTTCTTGTGATTATTAGTCATTATTATTAGTAGCGTTATTAGTAAGGAACATCTGTCAGTAAATCTTATTAGTCATGTTAGTAACATTATTAGTAAGGAACTTCTGTCAGTAAATCTTATTAGTCATGTTAGTAACATTATTAGTAAGGAACTTCTGTCAGTAAATCTTTAGTCATGTTAGTAACATTATTAGTAAGGAACTTCTGTCAGTAAATCTTATTACTCATGTTAGTAACATTATTTGTAAGGAACTTCTGTCAGTAAATCTTATTAGTCATGTTAGTAACATTATTAGTAAGGAACTTCTGTCAGTAAATCTTATTACTCATGTTAGTAACAGATTTACTGACAGAAGTTCCTTACTAATAACTGTTATTAGTAAGGAACTTCTGTCAGTAAATCATATTAGTCATGTTAGTAACATTATTAGTAAGGAACTTCTGTCAGTAAATCTTATTAGTCATGTTAGTAACATTATTAGTAAGGAACTTCTGTCAGTAACTCTTATTAGTCATGTTAGTAACATTATTAGTAAGGAACTTCTGTCAGTAAATCTTATTAGTCATTTTATTAACATTATTGGTAAGGAACTTCTGTGCATTTGTCTAAATCTTCAAACACGGTTTTGATGGATCTCACCAAATGTCAAGACTTTTTTTTTATAATGTATACTTGTAATTTTCTGAGCGGTGCACTTTTTCCCTTATGATCTTGGATATTTTCAATCAGTAAATGGTAATTTCTTTCTTTTTTTGAGTCAGCTGAACAGTCTCTACAAACTATGAAGATGATGCTTTTATGTTGGATATCTGTAACAAAGTTATATATACACATTCAGGGGATGTTCATATGATGATTGTATGTTCGATATCTCTAACAATGTTATATATGCACATTCAGGGGCTTTTTTGTATCCTTTTTTTATGTACTCACCCTCATTTAATGCTCAGTTTTGTGTAATTATGTCTTCTGTTTTTACAAAATATTTAAGATATATTATCTAAGTCATGGAGATGGGAATGAAAAGTATGTTGATAGTCTTTTTGCTTCAGTGCATTTTGTTTGGGTTATGTTTTTTTTTATACATCTGATAGCTTTTATGGAGGAAAATGGCCAAAGTAAATAAAATTATAGCTCTTTGATCATATTTATCCATCAGTTTTCAGTAGTCAGTACCATGATGTATCTTCTTTATTGGCAAGCCTGTCAAGTTCCAATATTTAACATAAATGTTAAGTGTTTCATGTATAAACTTGCTGGTGGAACACATCTTGGACTTGCAATCAAAGTTGTGAAAAGATTCATTCCAATCCAATTATCAGTTATTTAGGATTGAGGTCTCCTGGGCTACAAAAGAATGTTTGGGGCCCAAGAGACAACCTGAGATGCTCAGAAACTTTTATTTCTCTTCACCCCACAAGAGATTTATTTATACAAGCTTAAATGAAGATTTAATTGTGTTTTAATTGTGAAATTAGCTGATGTGCTGAATGGGTTAGAAGATGATGAATGAAGGTACATAGTACTTGGAGTATGCAAAGGAAGGATGCCGTCAAACGTCAGGCATCGATCAAGAAAGCTGAAGAAGAAAAAGCCAGTAAATTTTGAGGTGTTGAACATGTGTAGACGTTTATGTATGTGGTGATGATGTTGGATAAGGCTGTGATGAGTTTAAGTCGGTAGAGAGAGATAAGGAGAATCAAGTACACCAATGTAAAATTGAATAGATTTACATTCTGAAAATTTGTGATTAATGAAAAGGTGTGGGACAGATTCATTATATCACTTCTGTGTTTATAAACTTGCTGGTGAAACACATTTTGGACTAGTATTAAAGTTAAGCTCAAGATACCCTAATGGTGGGTTATTACTTTTAAACTCAAGATATCCTAATGGCAGGTTATTACTGTTAAACTCAAGATACCCCGATGGCAGGTTATTACTGTTAAACTCAAGATACCCTAATGGCAGGTTATAACTGTTAAACTCAAGATACCCTAATGGCAGGTTATTACCATTAAACTCAAAATATTCTAAGAACAGTTATTAAACTAAAATATTATTTTTTATTGCTCAGTTAACATTAAAGCCTCAACAATGTTTATTTTATTCTTTATTTTTCAGAAATAGGTTGTCACTCATATTATTGCCGTTTAAACAGATTAATTCACTTCTCAACCTAACCATTTAAACAGATTAATTCATTTCTCAACCTAACTGTTTAAAAAGATTAATTTATTTGTCATCCTAACTGTTTTCCTCCTTGGTAGTTTAAATTTACATTTATGTTTTTCATTTCAACAGCTTGAACAAGAAGAAAAATTAGACTCTGTACAGCTTGAGGTATGGTTTGACATCTGGTATATTTAGTGTGAAGATCCTTGAATTTGTCTATAATTTGTTAACTTCTTAGATTTATATTTTAGTAATTCTATCAACTGTTATTTGGATTAGTTTGAGTTACACAACCACCATTTGTGATTTCTCTGTCATTTGTATGAAAACACTATGTTTAGGATAACAATGTGTTTTATTCAGTATAAAGGTTTTTAAACCTTGCTGCACCATTCAGTGTGGAATTTTTTATGAAATAAATCATGCAATGGATCAAATATAAAACACACAGTTTGATAGTGGAAATTTAATAAGAAAAAAATTTTTGTATTAATAACTTCTTTTAATATAGTTTATGTATAACTTGTGAGTCAAGGTGGAAATTCATTAAAAAGTTGTTGTTTAGACAACGTACTCAGTCTGAGAAAGTATACTAAATGTTATGTTTGAGTAATATAATATCATTTTCATTTCACACATGATAACAATGCTGCATTATTGTTACAGTACACCTACTTATTGACCAGTCAACTGGAAGCCCAGAGACATTTCTTTGAAGATCGTATTGCAAGAGTAGAGAAGGAGATGTTTCGGCAGGTACTACTTTTTCTGGTTGATATAAGAACCAAACAGATGCTTTAATCTGGTTTATGGTTTATTGCACCAGACCAAGCATTTGTAAAAAACATTTATAATTTAAAGTGCCAAGTCTGATTTTTGTTACAAACTAATTTTCACTACAATATGTATTTCTTTTGAACTCACTAGAGCTCTATCAAGCTTAATCTTGTTGGTTATACAAGGTCTTTAGCACAAGGTACGACCTGTCTAAAGTCTTAACTCATGGAATGTATTTTATATTTATAGCTGGAGGAGCTGAAAGAAAAGACCAAACAAGCTGTGGAGGAAAGAAAAGAATTGGAAGAGAAGTTGGCTCGGGTTTCCAAGGAGAAACAAACTCATGAAAGGAAAGTTTCACAGGTTGTACAGAATAGCTTATTTTATTTGTAATATTTGTCATATGATAACATTCATTCAGTCTAATTTTATAGCTCATGAACAATTTTATAGTGACCATGTAAAAACCAGTTCATTCTACTTTGAAAACTAGTAGGCAGTTTCACAGTGACCAGGTACAGACCAAGTTATTCTACCTTGAACGCTTGTAGACAGTTTCACAGGAACCAGGTACAGACCAGGTTATTCTACCTTGAACGCTTGTAGACAGTTTCACAGGAACTAGGTACAGACCACGTTATTCTACCTTGAACGCTTATAGACAGTTTCACAGGAACCAGGTACAGACCACGTTATTCTACCTTGAACACTTGTAGACAGTTTCACAGGAACCAGGTTATTCTACCTTGAACACTTGTAGACAGTTTCACAGGAACCAGGTACAGACCAGGTTATTCTACCTTGAACACTTGTAGACAGTTTCACAGTGACCAGGTACAGACCAGGTTATTCTAGCTTGAACACTTGTAGACAGTTTCACAGTGACCAGGTACAGACCAGGTTATTCTAGCTTGAACACTTGTAGACAGTTTCACAGTGACCAGGTACAGACCAGGTTATTCTAGCTTGAACACTTGTAGACAGTTTCACAGTGACCAGGTACAGACCAGGTTATTCTACCTTGAACACTTGTAGACAGTTTCACAGGAACCAGGTACAGACCACGTTATTCTACCTTGAACACTTGCAAGACAGTTTTATAGTAGATTGTCTAATCATTTTGACAGGTCCTTTGTTTAATTTGGATTATCTCACTTTTGCTTTTTACATTTTGTAACTATTATTAGCTGTAATACATATAAGCATCTTAAAATTTAAAAATTGATAAATCATTTGAAATAATTGTTCAAAACTGCTCAGTGTTCAGAATTAATATTATGAGTTTATAAAGTTCCCAAAAATATTGAGTTCATAGTTTTCTTGAAATTGTATATTTAGCACTCAAGTTGTATATTATATACAATTATTGTTGGAATTGCATTAACATCCAAAACTATTATTAAAAGTTAAAGAACTTAAGCATGTTGCTAGAGTGGTATATTACCCAGGACTTTTATTGAAGTATAATAATGATATAGTGCACATATTAAGATAAAATTTATAGAGTTATTGTTCAGAGTTCTTTTGTTTCAAACAATAACAAACTTACAACAAAATTATGTATATGATATACTGTCTTACAAAACTTACAACAAAATTCTCTTTAGCTTACAGGTAAACTTAACAAACTATCTTCTGAACTGAAAGAAGAAAAGGAGGTGAGTTAGAAAATATAATTTAGCTTTGGTACAAATAATGTGTTATTGTAAAAACTAGTATGCTGAGTATTATAGATAGAATTTTGGAAATTGTTTTACTGATTTACTGTATGCTGTAGGTATACTGAAAACTATGGAAGAAGCAAGTATTAAGAGTGAATGATAATGTACAAATATTTTCATATTCTTTTTGGAAGTAATGAACTTTAATAATGAATTGCATGTTATAAATAAATCATTCTATTTTAAAAGTTTGTAGGCCTAATTTCAAATGCATTATTTGAACAGAACTTCTGAAAACTATGATTAACTCATAAATACAAACACTCGATTGAATAATATCAGTCATGGATGCAATAACCCTCACTGTCAAGCTGGCACTGAATTCAGTCATTAACTTGCTGCCTCACTTTTCTGGTATTTAAGCTGTTCTCGTTTTCAACTTCTTACACATTTTCTAAATCATTACATCATTATCCTGACAGAATGTCATGCTTCCTCAACAAATGAACATCTAAGTTGAAATATTTATAATATAGATTACAACAATAACTTTTTTAGAAATAATTAGTTTTAATCCTTGTTATTTTAGTTTTCAGGTATATTGATTTACTAACTATTTCTAGTCAGTTTGTTAAATAGGATTGTTTTAATTAAATTATGTTACTTTTAAAAATATTCTGTTTCTAGTCTGTACAGTTAGTTTTTGATCAGAAGTTATTTTCACTAGAATAAAGGATTTAAATGTACTTGGACAGATCTTGTCATGAAACATAAAATTCCTGTCGACTTCAAATTCATTCAAAAACCCAGCCCTCAAGTTAAACCATTACTTAATAAAAAATTATGTAAAATCACACAATACCACCATAGTTTATAAAATAATGTGTAATAAATGTCCAGAATTATACATTCACCAAACATAATAAAAAGTCCTCCCATATTTACCACCACTGTAACTCAATCTATCTAGTAAAAACAGTATAATTTTAAACAAAAAAAACAAACATCAACAAACAAAACATCAGGGAGACAATCTTAATTGAACAATATAGCCCTACTGTAAAGGTTCAAAAGGTGCTGGGGCCCTGGGCTTCCATATCGGGAGGGCATCCAATGCAACGAGTCGAATCGAATAGTAGAACCCTTTCCGCCTTTCCCCAAGGTCTTAGGTACAAGGCCCTGGGCATCATAGAACCTCTGCACGCCACTGCATCAGGGTTATTAAATATATATTTGTTGAGGTTACTCAAGTATTTTTCTAAATTTTTGAAACAACATTAGATTCTCTCAGTAACTGAAATCATAAACCTCAATGTTTCCTTAGTTGGTGAAAGAGAATAGAATGTATTTATAAAGTGTTAAAACAGAAGTCACATTTGATAAAAATAAAATAAATCTGAAACAGTAGTGAAAGATTCTTAAAGAACTATATACAAAACCAGTCCTAAAAGCCAAATATGTAGCTTTGATGTAATTTAAATATTTCCTTAAATACTAAATCCTGAAGTCAACTAACATTGTGATAGAAACTAAATCAAATCATGTATTAACTTACAAAGTTAAAAATCTTGTTTGAATTTTCAATAATCAACGTTTTTGAATTCTTAGGACAATTTTACATTTAAAACAATGGTCTGAGTATGGAAAACCCTCTATCACCCACTTTAGCAAATTTGTTCATGATGCTTATAGGAACAAAGTAATACAAAAAAGCCTTATTCACCACAGGCCTTTGGTGGAAATACTTTGATGTATTATATAGTTTTGATATCCAAGATGGACACTACTTATTTAAGTACTTTAATTCCACCCATCCTAACATAAAATTCACAATTGAAGAGAATAAAGAATGAAGAGTAACTTTCCTAAATTGAAATATTCCATGACTTCACAACTTATTCAACATAGAATGGAAATAGCGGATCAATTGGCACATGACATCAATCAAAAAATATGCACATTAAAAGTATACATTTCTTTCTGTTTTGTTCACCTCAAGAAAGTGTAATAAATAATATTTTAAAAGTTTGAATATTATACAAATGGATGTATCTATCAAATTAATTGTGGATCTTTTTATATTGGCAAAACTAGCATAAATGTGAAGACAAGATTTAACAAGCATTTAAAAGGATCAACACATAAACAAATACAATCCTAACATAAGTATTTTTAAAGGATGTCTCTGTTACTTTTATTAAACATTCTACCACATGTGATTTCTGTTTGAATGAAGGCTTTTTTATTTTCTTTAAAGTAGAATATAGTACTATTAAATCTACCGCATGTTGTTTAGTATGGTATGAAACAATGGTACTGGAATTTATGGTTTGTTGTTTTTAGATGAACAAGTGTCTCCGTCAGTATCAACAACAGTGGCAGGATAAGTTGAAAGACACGGAACATCATCTGATGGAGTTAAAGGAGAACAAAGAAAAGGTGTGGCCTGCTTATTTATTTGTAATACATTTTTAAATCTTTTATTTGTATCTAAGCTCCACATATCTCTATCACAATGCTGTTCAGGTGTCCTATGGACACCTATGTATCAAATTATAAAATTTCAGTAAAAATATTACTTCTAACAGAACTACAACAATTTTTAATTCAAAAATATTTTCGAATTTATATTTCAATATTGTGTACCATTTATTTAGTCTAATTTGTGAAGATATGTGACTTAACTTTATTACTGTGCAGCTGTAAGAAGTGTTGCCTGTAATTTTTTCTTCATTTTTATGCCCGTCCTAAAAATATAGGTTTCTATTTACCAAGAAGCTATCATCCTGTGAAAATGCTTCATTTCTTGTTTTTTTACATGATTTTCCTTCTCTGTTAATGGTTTTATTACTACAGCCCCTTGTTCCAACCCTTTTGTGATATCACAGCATGAGATTTGATGAAGCTCAGCTTTGAAAACAGGTAGAATTAATGGCTGAATACTGTTGGATAGTACAGAGTATGATATATTTATGTCAAGTTGGAGTAAATATATTTGATTGAGCAGTAATTTGTGGCTCTTTATATACTGACTACCCAGAGATTCTGTATATATATATATATATATCTGTATGTATATATATATATATATATATATATATAT